GGGCTGGGGTGCGGTGGCACAATCCCCGCTACCGCAGCCGAGCAGCCGAGCAGCTGGAAGTACAGACGCGCGCCGCCACCCCCAGGCTAATGTTTGATTTGTTGCAGAGGTGAGGGCTCGTCAAGTTGCCCAGGCTGGTCTCCTGGAACTCCTGGCCTCAGGCAGTCCTCTCGCCTCGGCCTCCCAAAGTGCCGCGATTACTGACGTGCACCGCGGGCACCCGGCTCCAAAAACGGGTCTTGATTGAGCGCCACAGGGTGGTTATGATCGGATGGACTATCTTTGATTTTATACTTTCCCAATGTGTTATAAAGAGACCCTTAACTACCTTATTAAGCCACCATTTTTCTTGGAAATGCAGGTCGAAGGCATAGTTCTGGTGTGTTTACTGGAGGGTTTGGGAAGAGGGTGAGGAAAAATCAAGGAAACTAGGCTGGAAAAAGAGATGATTCTTCTGCCTACCTAGTTAGCAAAGAGCAGAACCAGGGCTCTGTCTTTCTCCTAACTGCAGTCTCCTCTGTCAAATAAACATTGAGTGATGACTGTCAGGTCCTCCTTTAGGCTCTGGGAATATAAAAAGATGGGGAAGGCCAAGTTTTTTTGTTTCCCAGTGCATATAAAAGTTATGTTTATACTATACTGTAGTCTATTAAGTGTGCAATAATAGGTCTTTTTTTTTTCTGATTTGAAGTCTTACTCCATTGACGAGGCTGGAGCGCAATGGCACACGCACATGCTGGTTTAGGAGCTCTCCATCCTAGTAAGGAGACAAGTGTAAGGGACAAGGAAAAAAAACTCTCTTGGGTTCTGCAGTTGGGCCTCTGGAAATTAAACTGATAAGTGGAGAAAAGGCATACAAATTTTATTTGATGTTAATTTTCACATATCACAGGGCTTTCTTAGAAAAGAAGTGGATAAGGCCAAAAGTTCCTATACAGTTTTTTTTTAAGTTGTGGAGACATGACATGACAAGCCAAAAGAAACAGATTGAGGCCTGAGGCCTCTAGGGGTTGCAAACTGTAGGAAGGTAAATACAGGCATACCCTGGAGACATTGCAGGCCACCACAACAAACTGAATATCACAATAAAGGGAATCACACGAGTTTTTTTGTTTCCCTATGCATATAAAAGTTACGTTTATACTATACTGTAGTTTATTAAATGTGCAATAATAGGTCTTTTTTTTTTCTGATTTGAAGTCTTACTCTGTCGACGAGGCTGGAGTGCAGTGGCACACGCACAGACACCCCAGCATTGACCTGCTGGGCTCTGGCAATCCTTGTGCCTCTGCTTTCCAAGTAGCTGGAACTACAGGCGCATGCTACTCGCCTAGCTAATTTTTTTGTTTATTGTAGAGATGAGATCTTGCCAAGGTGCCCTGACTGGTTTAGAACCTGTGGGTTCAGGCAATCCACTTGCCTCGACCTCCCAAAATGCTGGGTAATCCAGCAGCCAGCATGTCTTTTAAATAAATGTGCATACCTTAACTAAAACATAATTTATTGCAAAAAAAAATACTAATGGCAATGTAATTCTTCAAGGAGTTGTAATTCTTTTGCTGGTGCAGGGTCTTGCCTTGATGGAGATAGCTGACTGATGGGGTGGTGGTTACTGAAAGTTGTGGCAATTTGTTTTTTGGTTTTTGTTTTTTTGAGTTGGAGTCTCACTGTCACCCATGCTAGAGTACAGTGGCATGCTCAGTGCCACTGCAGCCTTGACCTGCTATAAGGCTCAGGTGATCCTTCCACCTCAGCCTTCCAAGTATTGCTAGAACTACAGGCTATCAGACAGCCTGAGTTCCTGACAACTTTCTAGCTGTGTGATCTTGGGTACTTCCACTGTCCATCTCAGTCTTCTTTATTCACAAGTTTGATAAACCTTGAAGCCATAAAAAGCAAACTTACCGCACACTAAGAATGAATATTGGTCTCATGACTTGACTTTGCTAGGCCTTAGTTTCATCATTCTTACAGCAGGGGGTATAAAATCTTTTTCTTTTGGGACTATAGAGAAACTGTTTGAGGATGGGATTGAGAAGAGGATTAACTTCAACATTTCTTTTTTTTTGAGTAGGAGTGTCTGTCACCCAGGCTGGAGTGCTCATGGCCACCGCAGCCTTGACCTGATGGACTCAGGCAATCCTTCCTCCTCAGCATTCCAAATAGCTGGAACTACAGGTGCGTGCCACCACGCCTGGCTAAGTTTCTGATTTATTGTAGAGACGAGGACTGGCCAAGTTGATCAGGCTGGTCTTGAACCCCTGGCCTCAGGTAATCCTCTCGCCTCCTCCTCCCAAAGTGCTAAAATTACAGGCGTGAGCCACCACACTCAGTTTAACCTCAACACTTCTTATGTGCCATGCACCATCAGAAGGAGCTTTAGACAGACCTTATTTAAGGTTATCAGAGATCACTAACAGAAATTCTGTTATGTCATACTAAAAAAAAGAGGAGACGTGCTGGAAACATTTCAAGTTTTGTAACTTCTCAGAATTATCACTCTCCTTTTCAGAAATACCTTTGGGGATCACTATTCTCTTTGGAAAGAGAGTTTGGTCACAAGCTCAGATTGGGATAGGGAGAATCACTAGTTAATTCGTAGTTCTAAATTATTTTTACCTAGGGAAACCCTTTTTTTTTCTTTTTTCTTTTTTCTTTTTTTTTGAGTTGGAGTCTCACTCATCCAGGATCTGGAGTGCTGTGGCAAGCTCACGGCCACCACAGCCTCGACCTGCTGGGCTCAGGGCTCAGGTCATCTTTCCATGTAAGCCTTCCAAGTGGCTGGAACTACAGGCATGTGCCACCACACCCGTCTCATATTTTGATTTATGGTAGAGACGAGTTCTCGCCATGTTACTCAGGCTGGTCTCGAGCCCCTAAGTTTAGGCAGTCCTCTGGTCTCCGCCTCCCAAAGTGCTGGTATTACAGATGTGAGCCACCTTGCCTGGGAAACACTTTTTAATTTACCAGGACTACTGGTTAATCTGTGGTACTTTTGAGATTCGTTCCAGTTTACTTGTTAGAGGAAAACTGCTACATGGAAAATACATCCAGCAAAATGTGTTGCAAGCACTGGAATGTGTCTCCAATTTCAACTGTGCAAACCATCCATTTTAGCAACAAACTGTTCCTAAAGCCATATTGCTTAGATAGGTTTCTTTAAAAAATTCTCATGATAGTAGGGTCTTTTTATCTTGCCCGGCTTGTCATCAGAAAAGTCATTGATATCATGGTGTGTAAAAACAAACAAGGCTGGGCGCAGTGGCTCAACCTGGTACTTTGGGAGCCCAAAGCAAGAGGATTGCCTGAGCCTGGGGGTTCGAGACCAGCCTGGGCAACTTGATGAGACCTCGTCTCTACAACAGATCACAAAAACTAGCCGGGTGTGGTGGCGCGCGTCTGTAGTTCCAGCTACTTGGAAGGCTGAGGCGGAAGGATCGCCGGAGCCAGCAGGTCGAGGCTGCAGTGGCTGTGAGCGTGTCACTGCACTCCACCCTGGGCGACAAAGGGAGACTCCAACTCAAAAAAAAAAACCCAACCAAACAAACAGAAAGTCCCAGTTTCTAATCTTAGGGGAAGACCACACTGAAAAGCAGAATAGCACAGCAGTTCGTTAATAACATGATCCTTACTGCATGCCCGCTTTAGAATTCTGGTGGTGCCACATGCTAGCTGTGTGACTGGGAAAGCTCTTGCTCTACTTTCATTTCCTCGTTGGTGATAACACCTCTTCAAATTGCACTTAGAGCAGTGCTAGCATGTAGTAAGTACTCCATACATTTGGAATAGTGTATGATACTAATACAAGTGAGAATTACTTATGCTAATAATTTTATTTCCTTAAAAGGCATATTCATGGCCACTAGCATATAGTAAGTACTCCATACGTTTGGAATAGTGTATGATACCAATACAAGTGAGAATTACTTACGCTAATAATTTTATTTATTTTATTTCCTTAAAAGGCATATTCATGGCCACTGCAGCCTCAACTTGCTGGGCTCAGATGATCCTTCCACCTCAGCCTTCCAAGTAGCTGGGGCCATAGGCACACGCCACCACACCTGGCCAATTTTTTGATTTATTTTAGAGATGAAGTCTCACCAAGTTGCCCAGGCTGGTCTTGAACCCCGGGGCTCAGGCAGTGCTGGGATTATAGGCGTGAGCCACTGTGCCTGACCTGGACATTTCCTTTTGATGACAGCTTCTCCTTTTCATAGACCAGTGGCATTTCAAACCCTTGGCTAAGATCCTTAGTAAGAAATAGGTTTTACAGGCCGGGCTCGGTGGCTCAGCTTGTAGTCTCAGCACTTTGGGAGGCCGAGGCGAGTGGATTGCCTGAAAAAAAAATATAGGTTTTACAGTAACTTAGTACACATAATGCATTTAAGTAATAGAAACAAAACTGTCATGAACCATTACTCTTTTTTTTTTTTTTGAGTCAGAGTCTCATTCTTCACCTAGGCTGGAGTGCAGTGGCATGTTCATGGCCACTGCAGCCTCAGCCTGCTGGGTTCAGGTGATCCTTCTGCCTCAGCCTTCCAAGTAGTTGATACTACTGTTAGGGGACGCCACATCCGGCTAATTTTTTTATTTATTGTAGAAACGAGGACTGGCCAAGTTTCCCAGGCTGGTCTCATTCGAACCTGTGGGCTCAGGCAGTCCTCTTGCCTCTGCCTCCCAAAGAGCTGGGATTACATGTGTCAGCTACCAAGCCTGGCTCATTACTTACTCTTACAATGGGTAACATGCTTTTGAGTGTTAGGCTGTATTTCACTTCTTTCTTCAGTTTGACAATTGGCATGACCTACTGAATTGATTTTACATTGGGATATGACCTACAGTTTATAAAATAATATTGCTCTGGATTATG